GCATTTGGTTTATTCCTTTTTCTCTTGCCAGTTTATAGTTTCCTTCATAAACTCTCTTAGCCTATCCATTATATAATGAGGTCCCTCAGGACCCTAGGTGGAATTATTTTCTCATTCTATACAGTCTCTGGTCTCATCCACAGACATACTTTCACTGACCTTCTATATACTTATGACTTCCAAATTCATCCATTAGCAGATTTCTCATAGTTCCAAACTCTGTATTCAACTCTCCTATGTACTCTGATCTTGAATATTCCACAGGCATTACAAGCTCAATATGTCCAAAACACAAAATTTTCAACCCTAACCACACTGCAGGTCTTAAGTTTCCTATTTCAGTGAACTGCCAAAACCAAAGATCTGGTCACCATCCACAAAAATATATTCATGTATATAAATACATATTTATGTATATAAAATGTGTGTGTTTGTGTATGCGCAAATATATCCTTTATCAATTGACATTTACTTTCTCTCTTTTATTCCCACAAATTTTCTGGTTTCTATTCCCTTAATATGACTCAAAACCGTCAAAATCTCTCTTTCCCACACACCCACTTTAGTCTAGGCCACCACCATTCTCACTAGGTAACTGTAATAGCTGTTTAACTGATTTATGTGCTTCTAATACTGTCTCCCATCAAGTGTTTTTTAAACTTTACCAGAGTAATATTTCTAAAATGCAAATCTGAACAAATGTCACTTCTCTAGTTAATGTCTTTTAACAGCTCCCAATTTCCTGTCAGATAATGTGACAGACAAGGTCCTTTATTATCCTTTTTATGGCATAAAATAAAGTTTCATTTCACAGTCTCAAATAGCCTCACCCCTCCTTGTCAAACATTTATGTTATACTCTCTCATTTAATGGATTGTGAATATGCTATTCCATCTACCTGTCTCAGGCGAAATTCTCAGTTCCGACCTCACTCAGGATCTGAAAGATCTCATCATTAGTCCAATAAGTAGTCCCTCACCCAATATGAAGGAATTATATACCCCTTTAATATAACATTTATTTCATCATAACTTACCACAGTTTTACAATCATATCGTTGGTTTCTACCTGCTTAATATTAATAGAAGGACTGTGTCCTGCTCATATTACATCCATATAATCCAGCAGAATGTCAGTCATATAAAAGGCCCTCATTAAATAAGGAAAAGAGGAAGGGACAAAAGGTTGGCCTAGCATTCAAATACTAGACAAGGGAGTAGCCATACCTTGACCAAGAATATTGTGACCAAGAATAACAATGATAATAATTCAGTCCATATCCCCTGAACACTTAGAATGTGCCAGGTTCTATTCTAAGCACTATGCAAATCTGATGTCATATAATACTCCTAACAATCCTATGAGGTAGGAATTACTTGTGTATACATTCTAAAGATGAGAAAATGAGGCACAGAGAGGCTAAGGACATTCCATAGTAACACAGTTAAGTGACAAAGGCAGGCAGTCAGATTCCAGAGCACCTGCTTGTAATTACTCTGAATGCGTGTTTACTTGCTTTTCCCTTAAATTCTTAATTTGAAAAAGAAAGAGAGAGAGAGAGAGAGAAAGGTATGCATGTACGTGCGCGCACACACACACAACGGCTAAACTAAGTTATTTCTAAGGAAACATCCAGTATTATTTTTGTTAAATTAAATTTACTAACTTCAAATTTCAAATGGCATCTAATGAAATATGATTAGAGAAACAAGTGTGGGATCACCATTTCTACACTCTATGTGATTTTACCTAGTAATCATATCCCCTTTTAGTGTTTAGTTTTTATATAGCATTTCATCATACTGAACTGCTTCTGATCCTCTATATGTCCTGCAGTAGTCTTGGAGTGCTCCTCACCCAATGTTTCCAATCGATGAACACGGGATGTCCTTCTACTTACTTAGGTTATTTTTAATTTCTTTCAATCCTGTTTTGTAGTTTTTGGTGGACAAGTCTCTCACCTCCTTGGTTAAATTTACTGCTAGATATATTATTCTTTAAGATGCTATTGTAAACTGAATTGCTCTCTTAATTTCTTTTTTGAATATTCATTAAAGGTGTATAGAAACACAACTGATTTTTGTGTGTTAATCTTTTAGCCTACTACTGTGCTGAATTCATTTATTAGCTCTGCTACTGGCTATTTTTGACAAGGCATTGTAAGAAAAAGACAAGTTCAGCAATGAATTCACAAGAAAAGACAATTCACAAGAATTGAATTACAGGTAAAGAAAAAGTTCAGAAATTTGCGGACTTGCAGGAATAACCACCTCTTCAACCTCAACTTCTAAAAGAAATAATTGAGAGGGTCTTTGAGCAACAAAGACCAACTAAATTCAACCTTACAGCAAGTATTAAACCAAGTGTATGTTAGCCACACCCACTGTTGAAGATTCAATCGATTAGTGTCTCCAAGCACAGACCCAATAAGGCTGTGACTGTCCTGTATATACTTTCATTTGGAACAAATGGTTTGGAGAAAAGATACCATTGGAATTTCTTCAACCCAGGTTTGATAAATGTAGTTATTTTTAATCAGAAAAAAAGAGAATGACACAAACAGGCAAGTATAGGGGTGAAAAACATATAAACATATTAAATGTAGGCAATAGGTCTCTAAAATAACTGTGGGTTTGCCTTTGACAAATGGAGCTGATTGTAATCAGACAGATAAGGGGCCAAAAGAACCGTTACCCTGACATGTCACTATTTGCTATCTAAAATGACCCATGTTTCCCCGAACCATGAGAGATTATGGACTCTGAGAAACAAACTGAGGGTTCTAGAGGGGAGGGGTGTGGGGGGATGGGTCAGCCTGGTGATGGGTATTAAAGAGGGCAAGTACTGAATGGAGCACTGGGTGTTATATGCAAACAATGAATCATGGAACACTATATCAAAAACTAATGATGCAATGTATGGTGATTAACATAACATAAAAAAAAAAAAGTATACTGGCTGCAGCCCCACAGGATTCCAGGCTATTTTTTTTTAAATAAAAAATTGTCCTTTGATTTCATAAATAAAATAAAATGACCCATGTCTCCCAGTTTTCTACAGTCAAAAAGCAAGCTGAGAAATGGTATAATCACCAATACTCAGATACAGCCAACAAAGTTATTGAAAAATTTAAAATCTATACAATCATAAAGAATGGACTAGAAACCCTGTGCCTAAACCCTATACAGAGAATCATGGTCGAAGATCAATCCTATTCCCATAGGAGAGATCTTATTTAATCTTGTCCATTGAGATTTTAGAATTGCTACATACTAATGATAACTGTGCATCTCTGATTCTTCATCCTTCCTACAGAGAGTATTTATAGTAAATAGCTTTATCTTGCCACTGTATACCAAATACGCTGAAGGTAACAACACATATTTTAGTTTCTATTTTTTTTATAATTTTTTTTATTATGTTAGTCACCATACAGTACATCATCAGTTTTTGATGTAGTGTTCCACGATTCATTGTTTACATATTTTAGTTTCTAATTCTTTAGGTCAAAGGGGACTATATATCTGGACCTGATAATGTAGAGACTGTGTGTGGTACGTCATTCCCTACCTATCATCTAAAGATCCTGGACTTTTGAGCTTGTGGCCATAGCTGGTCAGAACTTTTGGATTTTCTCCCAAGGAGACAGTTGAGTAAATTTGCTTGTAAGATGGAAAATGGGAATATTTGGCAACCATAAGAGCCAAAAGTGCTGTGACTAATGCTGCTTACCAAATATTTCCTGCTCACTCCCTTGCAGATTCATAGTAGGATCTCACTACCTGGCCCCATTATGATGAGGTGAAGCAGTATGGATATAAATTGAGAGTAGAAGTGTCATTTCCAGTCCAGAACATTGAATTACTCTTAGAAAATTTGACTGGGCTCTTTTTCACTCTGCAATGATCACAGGTAATGTTCCACATAGGAACTACACTACCAGGCCAGTTCCTAGGGTGAGAACGACCTGGGACCAAGCCCCAAGACAATCCTCAGTGTATATACAGAATGCATAAGATATAAATCTTTGCTGTCTGAAGTCAGAGAATTTAGGGTATAACCTGGCCTGCCTTGGCTAATACATGCTTTCTGCTATTCACAGTTCTGTGACCTTAATTTATCACTGTGATTTTTCTGTACATTTTTAAAGTCATATACTTCATACTTCTGATGACCTGGTATTTCACCACCCAAAAGAATATAATTGTTATATTAAATTTATAAAATTCCCTGTGTATTTCCTCTTTCAAGCCATTTATTAAAATGACGCTGAAAAAATTTAATACAATTGACTCCAATCTCAGTGATAGGGTGGCATATTTATTAAGTCTCCATTTAAATTCTACCCCTAACTTTGTTTTCCAAATTCTTAGTATATTTTCTTCCCATGATATAAGAGAGTTCTGTTAAATAAAGCTGGTTTTATTTTCACCTACCAAATTTTATGTTATTTAAAAGTGTTGTTGGGAACTTCTTGAATATATTACTTATACAACACCTCCATAAGTGCTCTTCAACTGATTGTTCAGTGTAAATCAGCTAATCATGTCTTTAACATTAAATCAAGAAAAGAAACAAAAAATTCAGTGAAAAATTCCAAATAGTGACCAATGCCTACATTCAAACATGAATAAGTGCCTTTCAAAATTCAAATATTATTTATAAATCTTATACTCCTAAAAATCATTTCACATGCCATAATACATTCATAGTCATCTCTTTGCCTCTGTCATTTGTTGAATAATATTTAAACTCAGAAATTAACATAAGAATTATCATTAATTTGTGGAAGAGCCACATATTTTAGGCCTTTAGCTCTATTTTTAGTCTTTCATAAAATTCCCAAACTTTAACATTAAGTTTACATAAGCATATTTTTTTCCTCCAAAATACACCGAGGAAAGTAAATGGCACGAAACTGAATAAACAGTTATAGAGCTCTCAGGGGAGGAGAGTCAGAAGAAAAGTATAAATACATAATGGATGCGCAATTTTATTACCTGAGTATTTAACAACTCTTCACACTTGTGTGCTTGTTTCTCAATTGCAGAAATGTACTGTTTTTCAATAGCTTCTACTTGTTGCTTAACTGAAGACTGCAGTAGTGCCTAAAAACAAGCAAAAAAGTCATTTGGATCACAGACAAAACTTGGAGTCTACTGTTGGCATGAGAATTTTTTTTGACAGTTGTACATATCTGAAATATGATACTCTTCTGCATTACAAAATACACATTTGTGAATATTGAACACATTCATACATAACCTACTTTAAGCTTTCGGTTTTAGGTTTTCCTATTGCCAACACTACAGTTTTTTGGCTCAGATGTTACTTCCACACACCTTCTCCTTAAAAAAGACCAAGTCATAGAAGATGATAAAGAGGGTGAGTAGTTCTGTTAAATAAAAATTCAGTTTAGTGAAGACCACACAGGATGAGGAGTGTATGAAAGCTGCTGAAGAAAAAAGAAAAAGGAAAAAAACAAAAAAAAACAGACATATTTCACTGGCTGACAAAACTCCACATCCTCTCGGCACACTGTAATATCCCATGGGCCAAGCATGATCTTCAAGACCACAAGTCAAGTAAAAGCAGATGGAAACTCTGAGCAATTTCATGCATAAAAGAACTGCCCCCCAGGAAGTTCACGCCCCTAATATAAAAAGGTAGAAGTCAAAGTGTGGAAGTCAGAATCTCAAGGCAGTATTCATAAAAAGTAATAAAACTTGGGAGACTGGATAAACTTAAGTGGGTACTGTAAATGCTGGAACCTGGGTCAGTTAAATATAAAGATGTTAACACTGTTTTAAGGGAAGCCAAATCAGCATTTGAAGATGTCCCACCCACTCACTTCCTTATTGGAAATGCTTAGAACATTATCATCTTTTTTCTTTCCTTTTTATTAAAGCATTATATGTTATACTTAATGTGTTCCCAATATTACATTACAGGCTATTTATAAATCCTAAATCATTCTAAAATATGTACTCAACCAAATACATAAGAATTCTTTAGCAAATATTCTATTTTTGAAGATCTATCTGGATAATAAACTACTCATAATCAAAATAGTAAGTTGAAACAGACACACGTCTTATAGAAAACAGACCTTTGGCACATTCACCGAGAAAAGAAAAATAAGCCAAATCTCTTAAATAATCTCTGTTTTGAAAATAGATTTACTCAGTTGGAAACAACATGCATTAAAGGAGCTAAATAAATATGCACATATTTTTAAAAACTGAGACAAAAATATTTTTTTAAACCTTCGGGTAAGTCTCAAATTTTCAGATAGTTAACCTTCTTTTCCAAATGTTAGACTGTCTGATGATGCTACCACTCCTATAATTCAACAGTTGTCACTCTGAAGCTGCATAATTACTAGCAAATTAGTAAGGGAAAATAATGCTCTGACTGAGGTTTAACTAAAACTTAAAGAAGCGCTTAATAGAATGGCTTCAGCCCTTCATTCACACATTAGACGTCCTCTAAAAATTCCATAATGATTAATTTATATAAGGCTCCAAAATTTAACCTCTTAAACTGTGACTAGATGATGTAAAATTATAATTTACCTTCGGCAAAATATAGTATTTGTTGGACTTCAAAAAATTTAAAGAACATTATAGTTATAGATAATTCTCTTGGGTATATTCATGACATCTTCTGTAGATAGAAAAATGCCATCTTTTTTGGGGACTTGGATATGACAGAATTTTGCTTAATGGAAAGAACTGTTTTCACTCTCTTATTTGTCATGGTTTCAAATAACCCTACAGTTTAAATACCCAATTTTAGTAGATTATATAGATCATATAGATTTTTAGTAGATTATGTCCTTTGGAGAAACAGGTAAGTTAATTAACTAAACCTTTTCTCACCATAATTAAGAAACACAATGGAGGGGCGCCTGCGTACTCAGTTGTTAAGCTTGCAGCTCTTGGTTTCTGCTCAGGTCATCATCTCAGGGTGGTGAGATTAAGCCCCTACATTGAGCCCTGTGCTCAGTACTGAGAATCTGCAATCTTGTTTGAGATTCTCTCCCTTTCCCTCTCCCCCTCCCTCTGTCCCTCTCCCTACTTGCTCACATGGGAGTGGCTCTCTCCCTCTCTCAAATATATAAAATCTTAGAAAAAAAAGAAACACAATGGAACAGTATTTTTTTCTAGTGATTGATTCGTACACCATATACTCATTTTCTTCCAAACTTCAAGGAGGCAAGCACGATAGGATAATGAGTCAAGTAAGAGTCAAAGCTATGGTTATGGAGTGTGGTGAAAAGCTATGCAGAAGTGCCCAGCTTTTATATAGTTTAAACCTCTCTTCTTAGCGCCATTCAGTTACTTAAATACACTCATCTACAAAAGAGACATGAAGGTAGGTACTGGGAATACAAAGATTAAGAAAAAAAAGTCTGTTCTCACTGAGTTCAGTCTGCTGTGGAAGAGAAACATTCTATAGATAACCACATTCCATAAGTATATACAAGGTATGTACCAAAGAAAAGATGCCCAAAGCCTGCCTGTAAGGCTCACTGTTCTATGAAAGAATATTAAATAGGTAAGAATAGCTGCAGTTAAGAGTGGAGGCAAGAATTTGCAATGACGTGGATGGAACTGCAGGGTATTATGCTGAGCGAAATAAGTCAATCAGAGAAAGACATGTATCATATGACCTCACTGATATGAGGAATTCTTAATCTCAGGAAACAAACTGAGGGTTGCTGGAGTGGTGGGGGGTGGGAGGGATGGGGTGGCTGGGAGATAGACATTGGGGAGGGTGTGCTATGGTGAGCGCTGTGAATTGTATAAGACTGTTGAATCACAGACCTGTACCTCTGAAACAAATAATACATTATATGTTAAAAAAAAAAAAAGAAGAAGAAGATAGCAGGAAGGGAAGAATGAAGGGGGGGGAATCGGAGGGGGAGATGAACCATGAGAGATGACAGACTCTGAGAAAGAAACTGAGGGTTCTAGAGGGGAGGGGGGTGGGGGATGGGTTAGCCTGGTGATGGGTATTAAAGAGGGCACGTTCTGCGTGGAGCACTGGGTGTTATACGCAAACGATGAATCATGGAACACTACATCAAAAACTAATGATGTAATGTATGGTGATTAACATAACATAATAAAAAAAATACGTTAAAAAAAAGGTGGAGGCAAGAATGTAGCAAAATAAGCAGATGCCAAAAATTTAAAAAACACTGTATGTGGTAACAAGACTTTAAAAATTTGGACTGATACTACTGAACATTGTATTATTAGTGTCACAGTCCAAATAAGGTAATTTCCAAACACTTTCCTTACAACTATAATACTAATCATTATGGACACACTACAAACACAAACTGATACTAGCCACCTGCTTTTCCAGCATGATCTATCATTATATAACTGGATACTTATTTTCCAATGTAATATACCATAATAACTGCCTTTAAATATCTTGTGTATCTCAAGTATAAAAATGAACATTAATCTTAAATTTCCCTGCAATTCATTTTTCCTCTGTAATTGTGTCTAAAATATCAAAGATATAAGGAACAACACTATAAAAAGGTATCTGAAAGAATTATTTCCTTTACAAACTATTTTAAACTACTCTCAACAAATATAAAAAGCATTAAGACCTCCATGGTATGTAGAGGCAGAAAAACAAAGATGTACACAAACATCCTATAATGAAAAAATGCTATTAAAGGTAGGGAAAGTTTTATTAATTTTCAACAAATTTATGTTTTAGCCTCAGTTCTATCAGAGATGGACGGTGTCATCCCCAGGGATTTAACTCACCGAGCTTAAGGAAAACTAATAACCATACTTCTTTAAGAAGAATTTGAAATATGCAAACAAGATTGCAGGTTCCTTTAATACAGGAACTTTAACTTACTCATCTTTATATATCACACACAGCTGCATACAGAATTCCTTATACACAGTAGACACATGCAATAGCTATTTGATGAATGATGATTCTTGTACTAAGATTAATATTTTTAAAAATCACTAAATTCTACCCCTGAAACTAATACTACTCTATACTGTAACTAACTAGAATTTAAATAAAACCTTGAAAGAAAAAAGAATCATAGTATGAATGGTACCAATATTCACTGGAAAGTTCACTAAGCTTCAAATTATAACTACTAAGTTCATTTACCAAATTTGTTGCTAAGTACATTTCATCCCTACCAGGGGTTTTAATTTTTTAAGTTATTATTTGAGACTAGAAATGTCCATCCCTGCTACCCCATGGAAGAAATTTTGAATAAATAAAATGAGGTGTGTGAAGGACTGCAAAATCCTTGGAAGGAAAAAGTATATTATAAATTCTACAATTATTAGACTCATAGAAAACAAATAGACTAAGTCAAAACCACCCCACCCAACCATTACCCATAAGAAGTAGATATATATTTCTAATGGAATTAAATATAGGTGGAAATTTAAAAGGACTATAGCCAAAGTAGAGTACTACAATCTAAACTACAGTCCATTGTCTCAGCAAATCCAGTTTTTCTTCTCCTTTGAAATAGCCCAATTCTTATAGATTTGATCCAGTCTCATCAAATTAAACTTGTCCAGATTTGCAAAACAGATGTGTCTAAAAACCAGATGGTCTCCAAAATATTAATATCATGTTGGTATTTAGTATATAATCTCAAAAGAACACGTTGTAGCTAATTTTAGTCAACAGTAATTAGATGATTTTTAAAAACCACCCAAATTTTCTGTATCAATTCTCTGAGTCATACTTAACAAATGGAGAAAGGTATAAAGCTATGGAGCAAGCTGGAAGCAAAGCATAGAATAAATAGCTTGTCTAAAATTTAAGCCCTAGAAGAATAACAATCTCTGTTTAATTTGCTGATATACCTACCCAATACATCTACAATAGTACCTAACACACTAAAGACATTAAACAAGTATGCATTGAATGAACTGAAGAAATAAGTCATGATTTTGGCATGTCCAAGCCTGATTATTTGCCTCTTCATAGAGAAACTCTTAAAACTTTGATGTTAATGATGTCTATAATTATATTCTTAGTTCAGCTTTTTGACTACAGTAATATAGATTAATTGTTGTAAAGGGTCATTTGAAAT